GTACACGTTCACGTGCATACAAATCCTTTGCTGTGATTGGTTGGTTACGTTAAGTTACCACACGATTAACCACGATACCGTGTTGTTGGACATAGCTGAACATTTTTCGTGTACACGGCAAACGTGTATAGTGGAGACCCACCTTAAGACGTAACCAAAAGGTTATGTTTTGTAAGGACCGTGGTAAAGATTTCAGTGTCTGGTTGTGAAAGGAATAGGAGTGATATACGCGCCCAGCGCTTTTGAGGATTTCCACTTTTTTGAGTGGCACTATGAGGATTCTTACTATACGGCCAGTTGGAGTATTGGACGGAAAAAGGTCGCTTTCCAACACTTCAATAGCGGTCGAAAACTAAACTTTCGGTGCATGCGTGACAAAAAATATGTTACCTATAGGTACGTACAATTCAATACTTATATAATATACTTTTTACATATATATTTTATTAATTATAATAATTATAAATGCATAATAAACATAGTGTATAGTGATCAGATAATTATGTATATTATCAATATACATAGATATTATTATAATCAATCTATCGCGGACCGTCACTACAACTTACAGCTCCCGCTTTTTTTTTTGTTCTTACCTATCGATCTAATAATTCGATAATATTTCAGAAAACTGATCTGAATTCTTTAGAATGTATTTTTGAGATCGAACAGTCCACATTTTAAGATTTCTGATTTAAATTCTAAATAAATCCCGAATAACTAAGTTTGAAAATTCCGAAATTTTAAAATATTTAAGCTAAATTTATAGATGTTGGGGGGTCGGAATTGGAAAAAGTGGACTGACCAATCTCAAGTAGACATAGTAAGGAACTCAAATCAGTTTTAAAAAGTAATATCGCATTACTAGATCAATCAGTATGATGGAATAAAAATTGGATGTTTTGGCTAAAATAACTGTTTAATATTCTAAATTATAGTATTTCGTCAGGAACGTTTTTCCCCTGCCAGCCCGTATCGTGCCATAAAAAACTTCGTTTCAATAATATATAATTCGTTTTTGTTTAGTATGTTTAATTATTTTATTACGTAGTAATTACAAATGCACTTTGGGTTAATGTATTTTTCATAAAAAATGGTGTAAATACTATAAGTGGAACGTGAATTATAATAGAGGTGCTTGTTATCGATCACACGTCATAATATTAATGTTCATAATTATAATACAATAAATAGCTAAAATGTATTACTATTGTAAGTACCTATAGGTTTAAATGGTTTAATATTGAGATAGTGAGATCCCAATATCCCATCCCTTCAACGACGCATATATCCGATACCTGTATAGCTGTATAACAGACTGTATGTTATATTGTTATAACTACTAATTTATTGAATGAATATATTAGTTAGGTACCCATATGGCTATATATTATATTTTATAATTTATAACTACAAGGCAAATAGGTATCTTAACATAAAAAGTATGTTTATTGTTTTAGAGTTATTGCCTATTGAGTATTGGCGTATTATATAAATTGGAGGTATATATTGATTGATGTATTAGCCTTTTAGCCATTATGCCTATTAGTATATAATATGTATAATAGCCTATAGGTAGTAGGTACTTATAAAGTTATATAGGTTATAACTTATAAGTATATCGTGGTATACCTAAAGGTATTGGTATCGATTATTATAGCTGGTACTTTATATTATATTTGAACAATATACGGTTAAATAATACCTAATCGTAATGTTCTTCCGGTATATTTTATAATAATATATTTCTAGAAAAAGTTTGTATACTCATATTAATGTAGGTATATTTTTATTGCAAACTATTTGATTTTTTGAACGTTTTAAGTACTGTACTATCCGACGACCAGAGCGATATTTTATAAGCCCGTTTAATAAAAATGTTGTTACTGCCTATAGTATATTATTATTTCAAATAATTAATAGAGCTAAAAATATAGAGTTTCCAAGTTTATACTTTGAATTTTGAAACGGTTACGTTTCTCGTGTGACGTACTGTCTAGTAAATAAATATAACTTAATTGGTTATTACTTTATTGGTAATCACACTGGTTAATTTAAAGTTCTTAACAAGACTGACAAGCTTAGTAATTGTTTTAACTTGTTAAGTTATTGTATAAAAAAAATATTATGCAAGTTAGGTTTCAAATTAAAAGTTACATACTATATTATTAATTTAACTTGTACAAGTTATAAGTTAAATAGGAGAAAAGAAACTTAGCTTACTTAAAAATTAGTTACTTACGTTTGTTTGTTTTTTAACGGAATATTTATAATGTATACCAAAATACAATAAGCAAATTTGATAAAAGTAGTATACACAAATATAGAAATTGAGAAATATATAGTAAAAATAATAGGTAGGTACCTGGTACACATACGAGTAATTGACTGAAAAAATTACAGAAAAGGAGGTCAAATTGCCATCCAATGTTAGAATCCTATTATACTACAACCTATGTAATAAATTATTTAGGTTAATTGTTGGTTAGTTTATTAAAATAGATCACAATTCACGACATTAAGGGCTTTTTAAGCATCGAACCCATCTGGTACCTATAGTGTTGTTGCTGTTGAGATTTGAATTTAATAGGTACATTTGACTGTGATTGTAATTTTCTATGGAGATTTCTACATGGTTGTATTTATATTTATATATACGCAGGTTGAAAATTTTATATATTTTGTCAAAATTCGAATTTTAAATGCTTATAAAAAAAAATTGTGCCAATATATTTTTAATATTTTTCAACTGCTATTGTAACAATATATCAGGAGCCTTGAATTAAATTTTCACGCTTTTTTACCCAACAAATAAAATTTTATTGATATTTATAGAAAAAAAAATTAAAAAAAATTGAAAACTTAAAATGTCCTTAAACAGCTCAAAAAGAGTCAAAATATTTTGAAAATTGTATCATGTATAAGAATTGATAAAATAAACATTCAGTGAAATTTGTATGTATCTACAGTTATTCGTTTTTGAATTACAACAAATTAAAGAAATCGCTACATGAGAAATCGAGTGAATATCGAATGTTGTAAAAATTTGAATTTCAAACGCTCATAAAAATTTAATTTGACTTTCTTAGACATTTTTTTTTTTGATAAAGGTAGACAAACTTGTGAGGAATCTTGTATTAATTTTTCATATCTTAGATTTAAAAAGAAAATTTTATATGAATTTCTAACTCGAAATAATTTGCAAATTTTCGTGATTTTTCCATATTTTGTCTGCAATTTTTGAACTTTAAATACTTATAAAAAAAACTGTGACTAAGGATTATTAATATTTTTCATCTGCCTTTAAAACAATACACTACGAGCCTTCTATTATATTTTCAAGCTTTTTAACCAACAAATAAAATATGTTATTGTTATTTTTAGAAAAAAAAACTAAAAAAATGGAAACTGAAAATAAGTCAAAATATTTGGAAAATGTTATGGTGTATAGAATACGTATGCTAATATAAACATTCAGTCAACATTTCATGTACGGTCATGTGTTTAAGAGTTGCACCAAAAACCAAAATCAATTTGGCGTAAAAATTCCAGTTTTTCCTTAATTTTTTTTTTGTTTTTCACAGCGCTTTTGAAAACTACTGGGAATTTTTTACTTTTGGCCCCCCAAAGTACCAACTAGATTCACTTTCCTATCAGAAAAGATACTGTTGAAGAAAATCCAAGCACTTTTACTGTCCTAAAAGGTGATGACAGACACAAAAAAATAAAATACAAAAACACACATCATTGTAAAATCAATACATTCATCGTTCCACTCAGAATCTAAAATAATATACCAGCTGTTTCTGTTTTTTTTTGATAACAACAATAATTTATACAAAACAAAATATATTTTTTCAAAACTTTTTAGAACTTCTCAAAAATTATAACATAAATATTTAGATATATCACATACAATTCATATTTTCTTAAAACGTATTGTATATTTGTATCATATTTATTATCCTATATACACCTTATTCTTATGTAAAATTTAAATAAATGTTTTTTTTTTTTTTATATAAGTACTATACAATCTTTACCATTAGAGGCACAATAAGAATATGGGCTATATTATTTACAAAGACATGAAACGGTTGATGGAAGAAGCCACCCAGTAATAACACTCCCTGGACTATAAATAAATGTAATATGTATTTCTGAAACGCCAATTACCCCAGTAGTTGAGTCTTATTTTTAAATTGTGCTCTGATTTTGTGCTCTGATTTTTATAAATTATATTAATAGGATTATAATAATTCGTGTGTTTCGTATTTAATTAGTGACTGGCGAAGATTTTTTTTTTAGTATTTTTTTTTTTTATTTTAAAAAGAATATTTACAATCTATACAATAAGGTATAATGAGTGTGGTGACATAAGAACATTAGACATAAAATAACATAATAGGAAGGCTCCCAGCAGTGCCACCTGAACAGAAATAATTTTCTTTTAAAAAAAAAAAAATATATGTTTTATATCGGTAAAACAATTAACTTAAGGTGACTATAAAACTATTTAACTAGCTGATTAGTAACTACTAAGTACTAACTATACATAACATGGAAATCAATTTAATTCATGAATGTCCAACCTAGGTTATTAAGTTGTATATATATATATGTGTTCTAAAAGTGGGGTCAACCCGGAAAGCCGGATGACGATATCCAAATAGATGGCTGGCGTGGGCGATGGTCCTGACATCGTCCACCAGTAGTTTGCATGGCGCTAATGTTGAAATACTTGAATAAGTGCTGGTGAATTATAGGTATCTATATTATACGTATAGAATGTGGACAAGTCTATTCGGTATAGAAATGCCCGCTCAAATAAGTGTTTGTTTTAATCCCGTTAGCTCAGGGTGAGAATATTTAAATAAGCTAATGGGGTGAAGAGATCTATCTATTAGCCTAAAAACTTAAAAGTACTATTTTGGGCTTTGAATTTCGAGCATGTAGGTACATAATTTGTCTTCAAAAAGAAGACTGTTTTCTTTTTAAAGATGCACGGGTTGTCGGCCGCAGGTTCAGCCGACTCGGAAATCTCTTGGTCGATTGCCGGTGGCATCCGTGGAAGCAGCAAATTCTATGGGATCGCTGAGAGTTACTATCCTTACCTTAGATCATATATATATGATCTAAGATCGTTAGATACGTTTACCTTTCCGGATCGTCCAAGTTATCCCAATAACTCGCCGGGGAACTGCGGATTGCCGATATTGATCGCCGATTTGTCGTGAACAGTGGACACTGGTTTATCGAGTTATCACTGTTGTACCAATGAATTATTTTTAGGTTAAAATTAAAAAAGTTTTACAACGTAGGCAACTTCCTAAAATATTCGTTTATTACTGACTATATTGACTATTGCAAACGATAGGCTTTCCCAAACAATGTTATCTATATTGATCTAATATAAAAATTGAACTTAGATAGGTAAGTATAATAACTAATAATGACATACAGAACAATTTGTAAAAATTCCAATATAACATCGGTAATAAATAATAATCAAAACATATTACTAACGTACTTAATTTTTTTCACCTCGTTTTTATACCTTTTAAAAATATGTAACTATATGTCATGTAATCAAACTTTTTTAATTTTTCTTTTTTTCAATTTTCGTTTATAACGATTCTACTACAATGGCTTATTTTAAACGGTCCCTTGACGGTCGTTATAGCCTATAAGCTATAGTTGATATATTATAGTTTCTGTATTTTGCATTATTTAATATATTTATTAAGTCACATTTATTTAGACAGTAAAATAATGAATACCAAGTACATTAAAATAATATTATAAATGAAAAGAATTAAGACTAATAATTGAAAACACGAGAAAAGACTATAGACGCCTGCAAGAAAAAAAACTGTATAATTATGGCTTTAGCCAACTGCAGTCATAGTCCATATAGATGGAAAATTAATTGAATTATGGGAAAATTAATTGAAATCTTCCCACACAAAATGAGCCAATTAATAAAAAAATAAAAAATAATAATTGGGGTAGGGGGAGCTTTGAGTATTTTTGGGAGGCCAAGGCACTCATGCAGCCCTCTTAAAGAACTCCTATCTACACCTATGTGTACTTATACTATACGTATATTATATAGATTCGTCAGTGTTATGAAGTGACGAGGCTCTCAAATAATACCAATTATATACGCGCACAAGTCTCGTACCACCAGAATTGGACGACGAAGACGTTCGCACGTTTTTTTTTCAAAGTTGTCATCCAAAACTTTTACCATATTATTTTAATCACAGAATTAGTATCACACAGAGTACATCGCCTGGTAATTGGTACAAATGCTGGTAGATTAAAATTTAAACTTTTCTACACTAGAAAAATATAGTTAGGGTTCTAATAGACTGTACAAATTCGTTTGTATTTTGTAATTAGACTTAATTAATGTTGTTTTTAGGAAATCATCATGCGATATAGATATGAATATACGACGAAAATCGTCTCCTATATAATGGCATATGGCTATTATTGGCCTATATTATTATCTATAGATACATTATTATGGCGATTCGGGACGATTATTAATTCATTTCGTTACGGACGATTATTATGTACCTATAGTCGGTTTTTTTTTCGGCATACCGTGTAATGTTTTTTGATTTTCCCGAGACGAAGGATTACGGTTATTTATTTTTACGTTTCGGCTGTCATGAAAACAACAATCTTTGGAGGCGGAAGAGGGGTTAGCATACGGAGGAAATCAGGAAAACCCAGTTCGTACCTCCGACGACCGAAGGTGTATAGATCTAGTGTCCTATTAACTCCTCAACAATAATATAATACACCTATAACTGGCTATAACGATCAACTACATTTCATGCCATTGGCTCCTATTTTTTTGAGTCAAACACGACAATATTATAACAACAATAACGCAAATTATTTGTACCGCACACGTAAATATTATATAGCATAAAATAATATAGACTATAGTGATATAATATTATTATTATGTCGGTCGTAGCAAGTAACATGGGGGGCACCACTCCCCGCGGGGACACTTGTGCAGCTGTGCAAATCTGTCCGTACCAGCCGCGTCTACCGTCTACGTAGGTATATTGGGTATAGGTACACTTTACGTCTATACCACAGACTATATTATGAAAATAGTATATAATATTTGAATATTTCATTTAGTCAGTTAAGTTAGGACTACACGACTATACCTATACGGCAAACTGCTAGACAACTAGTATTACGGTATGCTCATAATAATATATAGGTAGATCCACGTGTACAATTTTTCCACATGTCTACGCGCTTATTATTTAAAAAAATTTTAGTCGGTGTCATTGAACAAATAATTTGTAATGATATTACAACAATATTATTTACTCCACCAGCACATAACGACTTAACAATAATAATAGTAATAATATGGGTTACAATGACTCACGCGTGTTGCGTCTGAGTTCATGTTAATTTATGAATTATACGATTACATTACGCAAAATACAATATCATAATTTATAATACCATTCGCGTTTTCGATAAGCGAGAGGATTCGACAATTTGTATATTATTAAATATTATATTTCTTATTAATGTCACGGTTTTAGGTGGGCGTACGCGTATCGCGTTCAATAAACCGACATAATATTATACATTTATAATATAATAATAATCGCGTATGCTCCGACGCTCGTACATTATGCATTTATGCACTGCGATATAATAATAATCATTATGCAATGAGTGCGGGGCGAGGATTTTCCGAGTTGCCGATATTATGACATGTATATAGCACGCACCACGCGCGGAAATGCGGAATAGTGAAAAGGGAATCGATAAAGGGTCGTCGCCGTCGTGCGTAAAGTATAACTTAGAGCGGTGGCGTCGTCGTCGTCGTCGTCGAGAGAGCTTTTTTCCTCCTCGACTCCTCGTCGTCGTCGGCGACAACGAGTCGAGCGGCGGCCGGTAGGCTGGCGGCGGGGCGTGGCGCGCACGTCCACCCATACGGGCGCGCACCGGTGTGACGACCGCTGTTCGGCCGCCGCCGCCGCGCAGGACCGTTTTCGATCTCAAACCCAACGTATTCGACGACAGTGTTCCTTTTCCCGTTTCGAAACGTTTTACTTTTGGGATCTTCCGTTTTGGGTTTTTTGCCAAGTGAAAATCAGGCGACTCGTATTAGAAATTCCAGCCCCACAGTACACGCCGCGGACGACGACCGTGCGGCCGCGTGTCCGCGCAAAACCGACTCCGGTAGGGTTGTTTGAGCACTCAGAAGTGTTCCGGACTTCGGAGCGTTTGGGCCGCAGCGCGGGGTTCGTTTGAATTCGGGCGCGCTCGTGTGCCGAACAGCGGCTCGTCGACCGGCAGCCGCGCTCCTCGCCGCTCGTACCCGGTCGGTGTCATTCGTCGGAATCCGAGAGAGCCCGTTTGACTGTAATCGTTGCCACTTGCCGCCGCACGCACACGCACATACACACACAAACACACACACACACACAAACACCCAAAAAACTCACACAAGCGCGGGTGCGCGCGCGCACACGCACAATCATCAGTATCCGTACGAACGATCGCTTCCGTCCGTATGTTTTGCTTCTGCTGCTGCAGTGCTGCCAGTGGTGACGTTTATTGTCCAGCGGACGGTGTGAGACGTGATTGTGCGTAGTGCGTGTGTCGTCGCCGCCGCCGCCGCCGTCACCGTTACCGTCACCGCCTCGCGATATCGTCGCAGGTGTATCACTGTAAAATAATAAAGAGTCCGCCCGACTGTCTGTCGTCGTTGATCTGACGTATTGGATCCCGCCGTCCTCTCCGGTGAGACACATACGTCCACTACAACACTACCCATAGCTCTTCGCCGCTGTCCACGATGGCCGGCAACATGGGCATGGAACAGTTGATACCCATCGTGAACAAGCTCCAAGATGCATTCACCCAGCTGGGCGTGCACATGCAGCTGGACCTGCCCCAGATCGCGGTGGTCGGTGGCCAGAGCGCTGGTAAAAGTTCCGTGCTGGAGAACTTTGTGGGAAGGTAAAGCAAAACGCGACGTTCGTCGGTGTCTTGGGTTCGCTACCACACGACTTGCCCAAACCGACTGCCAGAATGTTATTTTTGTTTCGATTCATGCAACAACATGTTCAGTGTGGCCCTTTATCTTCTTGAATAATAAATAAAAAATTATAAAAAAATTGCTGATTGTTAGAGATCTGAAGTTTGTTTTATGTCCACTGTCTGTGTAATATCTAATATCTGTCCATAGGCGGCCCCCAAATTAGTCCGTTACAACTGCACAATGACCAATAGAGCGGCCTTCTCGTCTCATTTCAATGGATGTGATATGTCTTCGTATAAAACTACGATCCTACGGTCAATATCAGTTTCATGTTTACGTCTGTATTTGCACACAGAATATTTTTACCATTATCATTTTCACTATTTATTTTATGTCATGTACCTATCTATAGGTTATTTTAACCTAATATTAGTCCATTGAAAAATAAACGACATCAAAATATATTTCGAGAGCCCCGTGATAGGGACGCATCTATAAGGTTTAATCGTTTGGATGATGGGCCATACGAATTACAGAGATAGAAGTAAAATTTAATTTATAAATACCTCTAGTTAGAGAGCCTATAGGCTCCCTACCTCTAGTTATACAAAATGTACATGTTTATTGATGGAATATTTAAATCGGGTCGGTACATACTTCAGTGTATGAGCATTACCTATATTGTGGCAGTTGGGTACGGGTTATTTTACTTCTTGATAGAAATTTATCAGTTTATGTTTAAATATGTAATATGTTTCACATTGGTTGTTAAATATTTTTAATTATAACATATGTATGTTTCAAACGTCTTTAGGTACCTACTATGGCTATAACTGTAATGTAATTGATCGTGTCTAATCTAAACTAATGATAATTTTGTATCTATTCTATTTATTTGTAGCCTCAAGAGTACCTATATTACCAGTTCTTGTAATTATTAATTTAAGTAGGTACATTTAATTACTTGATCGACAATTAATTTGTAACTTAATCTTCAACATGATCATTATATAAACCAATGCATTTGAAGATATTTTGATTTGAATAACTTTAAACTCTTGAATAATAGTAATAACAGTATATTATAATAAATTTTCTACTTTCAAGGTGCACAGACCTAGATGATATAATTTTACGATACCTAAAGCAGTTTATAGTTTAGATTATGAGTTATTTTTTATTTATATTTCACATGCAAATACATAACTAAACAGTTAATGGTTCAAAACAACAATAATTATTGATTATTTAAGCCTTGATGATAAACACATGTACATTTTTTACTAAACATGTTTTAACGCCTACCGACCCTGCTTGAAAAAGAACATCAAGTTGAATAGTTGAATGCAATGGTAAAAAATATAGGTATCTAATCTACTTAAAAAAAAAAATGCATTAAAACAATTATTGTATTACCATTAATTTATTTTATTGATTAGATAAAAATGTGTATTATGAAAAATAGTAGGTAGTAGGTAGGTTCACTTTTAATTATATTAGGCATTGTATGTTTTAAATACATATTTCAAGAAATATCTTATTAGGTAGGTATCGTAAAACGTTTTATAGTTTCATATTAACCCTCAGTAGATATTTGGATGATATCCATTTTCAAAAAATGTATTGATATTTTAGTTATAAAATATAAAGCATATTAGTCGTAAATCTATTTTGTAGGTATAAATAGTTAATAAATATTGGATTCAATGCTTTATTGTTTTAAATACATTAAATATTATAGTTAGGTACCTATATTATTTTTTAGGTTGGTTTCTCATTGTACCTACATTATGATCACTATAGTTAATTTCATTCATCCCCACCTAGGTACTTTACCTATTTACTAAAGAGAAATCTAGTAATAGATCTGATTCACTACTAGAAATTTTGGTCAATGGTTTTTTTTTATTTTATAAATTAATATGGTGTTCCATATTTACTCATGTGTAACTTTTTAGATGAATTTCAACAATTCACTTTCTTTTAAAAACCTAGTTAAAATATTTTCAACATTTCATACAATAAGTTATAAGTAGTAACTTACTTAACTATTGATAAGAAACAATAATATAAACAATATTGTTTTAATTTAATATGCCAGTTATTTTACATATTATTCTATGGTGTCAAACTTAGGTAGACCTACGACCTACCAATGTGTAATTAGTGTGCCTCACTGAAAATCGATGCCAACTGTGATATTTTTTATTTTGGTAGTCATCCCTCTATTGTCCTAAATCTCTTGACTCTTTTATAGATATACTTTCTAAGTCAGCTTTATCGCACTTTTTTTATAATTGTCCATTCAATTCTGTTAATTACTTTATTTACATTAAGACAGAGTCAAGTTAAGAGTAAAATTAATTATTAATGTTACTAGGTTTATTAAGTTAATAATCACATAAATAATATAGACCATGTTTTTAAGTATATTATATACCAGGAATACTTAACCTTTTGGATCTGCTTGTCAATTAATAAAATGTGATTAATTCTGTATAGCCGATGAGTAAGGCAGGATAAAATTTCTGTATTATTTCTTGTATAGAAATGGTGGACTGGCGAGTATGAACCGGTTTCGTTCATGACGTCATGGTTACGCTCTCTGTTAAAATAGAATTTATAATATTCAAATTATAGAATGACCCCCAGCTATAAGACATATACATGTCCTGAATTTGACTCAAATTCAAACATCTTGAAGTTTTTTTAGTTTTAAGAGGATGTCAGCTCACTACCTATTTGTTTTCTCTTACTGGCCCACGCTCAACATGGACAAAACGCATTAACTCAGAATCATTTTTTCAATGTTTTTAAGTTATCCTTGGTTATCTTAGAGTAAAATCACCTATTACAAAAAAGATAGAGAATAATATTTTTGGCTGCAACTCATTTGCGCACATTTACCTTTTTTACAACTCATTTGCGCACAAAAACATAACTCATTTGCGCACAATTTACGAACAATAGAAACCTTTTTTCCAAAAATTTTATCCATGTATAGGGTGTACATAATCTCCGTACCACCATATTTTCGATTTGGTCAATACTGATAGTGGACAATTATTATACTCAAACAACATTTTCCTTCACCCTTTAAAAGGCTTAGGACTTTCTGTCTCATCATATTCTGATGTTATAGACTGGCGGGTTAAAAATGTTGTTTTTGCTATTACACATTATTCAAATTTTTGTCAAATTACAATAAATTAGGTACAATAATTTTTACAAGTCATTAAAATTTTGTCAAATTACAATAAATTAGGTTTAACGGTTAACAAAAATAGGGTAAGATATAGCAATAATATCAATAATAAAGATTAAAGCTTGTCCCACACGACTAGTGTACTTGGCGAGTATTAATGCCATTTTTGATAGATAAGAACTGATGTGAAATCACGTTATGCTTTAAGACTATATAAGGCTATATTGAAAATACTCCAATAACGGGTGATCATTGATATCAATAATATTGAACGTGTAACGTGTTGGACAGCTTAAGACACTCTGTACACCCAAAACTGTACCTAAAAGCTGGTTTCCATTGTTTACTATTTTGTGCGCAAATGAGTTGTCGTAAATTTAAAAAATATATTAATATGTGCGCAAATGAGTCTCCACCATATTTTTGAGGGAATGACATATCAATTTTATATTTTATTGTTATTTAACGTTCAAAATAAACAAAAAAATGTTGTAGGTACATTTAAAATATGTTTAAATAGTTTTGAGACAATATTTAGACAAATCAAAATGTCATTCCCTCAAAAATATGATTTGTTTTTGAGGAAAAATCTTTTTTGTAATGGGTGATTTTATTCTAAGATTACTTAAAAACATAGAAAAATGATTCTGCGTAAATGCGTTTGTCCAGAGAGAGAAAATAAATAGTGCGCTGACATCTTAAAGCAAGTTATGAACATTTAAAAATTTTGTATGACTAGTCTTACATGTGGGTGGCTTAATTTACAGCACCTTTAATCAAGGTTAGCTGCTCCCCACTATTCAAACTAACCGTATATATATATTATATTCTCTATAATAAAATATAAATAATTAGTTACATTTTAAATGATCATTAACTACCTAGTACTTTTGTGCATAACGTGAACATACATATGTTATTAGAATGTTGATGCTCATTCTTTGAAAATGTTTTATATTTGAATTGTTTAACATTGGTACATTTTTATTTACAACATTTATTTTTAGGGATTTTCTACCAAGAGGTTCTGGAATTGTAACTCGTCGTCCTCTTATTCTTCAGTTGATTAATAGTACATTGGGTAAGTTAAATTATACCTATATTATGTAAAATGATAAGGTTATTGTTATTTGATTGAGTTTGAACAAAACCTTTCTGTTTTCAAACGTGATCTAACCAATCGGATAACCACTTCCTTTGATGTCATTAAGTATGATATACTTATAGGAAAGACATTTTTCATTAAAACAAACTAAAATACTTGTACTTAGTCAATACCCAACTTAAGTTTGATTTATTAAACATTAAAACATTTTAATAAATTATGACCTTTTTTAAGTACCATTTAACTTCTATTACATCCCACTTATTAAAATCATTTACATTTTGACATCACTAATAAAAGCAATTTTATTCATTTCTAACCTTCATCATTGCTTGTTAAAATATATTTTTATTTGTTAAATTATCTAAAAAAAAATCATAACTATATTAATATATTAAATTTGTCCTATAAAATTAAATTAAACAAGTTAAAAATAAAATAAAAACCAAGATTTACTCTTAGTGGATAATTAATTAGGTACCTAGGTATGTTGTTCATTATTATAATTTAATTTTAATTTTTACAGAATATGGAGAATTTCTTCATTGCAAAGGAAAAAAGTTTGCTGATTTTGATGAAATTAGGCGTGAAATAGAAAATGAAACTGATCGTATGACTGGATCTAATAAAGGAATTTCTAACATACCAATAAATTTGAGGGTATATTCTCCTAATGGTAAGTACAGCACATATATTAACCTACCTATATTGCACCATTAAAAAAATTTAAAGAAATTTAATTCACTTTTTGTTATATAATATAGAAACTATTAAAAGTAACACCTTAATTTTCCATAAATGAAATTGTCAATAACATATTATACTAATTAATTCCAACATATTTTATACAATGATTATTTGGTATTTGAAAGAAAAAAAAGATAGCTAATAGACAATAATATTTAATTTTTTATTATGATTTCAAAACTGTTAGTTTTATTCAGTAATTTGAATCTAATTTTTATATTGTTTAAAAGTCATACCATTTTACTATGGTTATTATTTATAACGTGTGTAAACAGTTTTAAACATCACAATGATCGACTTGCCTGGCTTGACAAAAGTGCCAGTGGGTGATCAACCAGCTGACATTGAACAACAAATCAAAGACATGCTGTTCCAATTTATCACAAAAGAAACATGTCTTATACTGGCTGTTTCACCAGCTAATGCTGATTTGGCTACTTCAGATGCCTTACAAATTTCAAAACAAGTTGACCCAGACGGTAAACGTTAATCGGCCAGTAGTCTGCTCGGAAATATTGCACCAAGTCATACTATTAGCAATTTTATCGTTTTTTTAGTTTTCCTTAGAATGTTCTTTGTACATTGCTTAAAAGTATTTTTTGTTTCTTTAAACCTTAAGAAAAAATGTTTTACCAATCTAATGGCTTAATTCTGATTGAAGACTAAAACAGTGTATAGAAATTATCATTAATGATTCGTTATAAATCAAGGTGTAGGGCTAGGGAACAAGTCATACATTTTTCAACATTGTTGGTTTTATTTGTGGCCGTTGTGTAGTTGTTCTAGTATTATTTTCCAGTGTTGAACCTGACCCTTGTTGATTTGCCTGGTATGACCAAGGTACCTGTTGGGGACCAGCCTCCCGACATAGAGCAACAAATAAGATCAATGTTATATACTTTTGTTAAACGAGATAATTGCCTGATTTTGGCTGTAACACCAGCTAACCAAGATTTGGCCAACAGTGATGCATTAAAAATTTCTAAAGAAGTTGACCCTGAAGGTAAGACATGATAAGATTTTCCATCCACCTACATATTGTGTATTAATAAACTCTTAAATAATCTGTACCTACTATATCAACATAATCAGTATAAAATGATTATTTATTAGAGAACTTATGAACGGCATACCCATTTAAAATATTAATATAAAAACAATCAGATCTGTTTCATTTTATTCCATTTTATTGGTGTGATGAGTTTTTGATATATTGTAATCTTTATCAGGTTGTACACTTTATTTTGATATTTAATGATTTTAAAATTCAATTTTAAGCTTTAGTAACATTTGAAAACTACTATTCACTGTTCATTATGTCAATTTTAAAAGTATTAATCGATTTTATAAGTTATCACACGCCTATAAATGTGATTATTTAGACATGTATTATGTATGGTAGTGAAACTGCATGCTATGTATAAAATAATAAATCCTATTTTTTTAATTATTACTTTAGATATTTTATGCATTTTTTTTTACCATTATCAATAAATAATTACATCCACTTTGATTTTTGAACCATTGCAACTATTTACCTAACTTAATATTAATGAAGCATGTTCATATTTTATCAACAAAAGTTGTATATTTTTTTTTTAAATTTTAAATTAAATATGTTGTTGAAATTAGTTTTATGCACTTTTTTACATTTGTATCTGTATATAATTAAAACACATAATATTCATTTCTTAGGTATGCGAACTATTGGTGTCATAACAAAATTGGATCTGATGGACGAAGGAACTGATGCTAGAGACATACTAGAGAACAAGCTTCTGCCTCTCAGGCGTGGTTACATTGGTGTAGTAAATAGAAGTCAGAAAGATATCGATGGCCGTAAAGATATAAAAGCTGCTTTGAGTGCAGAAAGGAAATTCTTCTTGGCGTATGTTGAATATTTATTATTCAGTTTAAAATTTGAATCTATATAAGTTATAATTTTTTTGTTTAGACATCCATCATATAGACACATGGCTGACAGACTTGGTACACCATATTTGCAAAGAGTTTTGAATCAACAGCTCACAAATCATATTAGAGATACATTGCCAGGCCTTAGAGATAAATTACAAGTATGTTTTATTTTATTTTTGTAAAGGTCATTGTCACTTATAATATTATCACTTTTAGAAACAATTACTTACATTAGAAAAAGATGTCGAACAATTTAAATACTTTAGGCCAGATGATCCAGCTATTAAAACCAAAGCAATGTTACAGTAAGAAATTTTAAGCCATTTATTATTTATTTGTACACTATTATTTATTATGTTCTCATGAATTTAGAATGATTCAACAACTTCAATCTGATTTTGAACGTACAATTGAAGGTTCTGGTTCTGCTCAGATAAATACCAATGAACTATCTGGTGGTGCTAAAATCAATCGTTTGTTCCATGAACGTTTCCCATTTGAAATTGTGAAAATGGAAATTGATGAAAAAGAACTAAGGAGGGAAATAGCATTTGCCATCAGAAACATTCATGGTGTGTAATACACCACAAGAAGATACTTAACATTCATAAATAAATATATTTATTTTTATAGGTATAAGAGTGGGTTTATTCACACCTGATATGGCATTTGAAGCTATTGTGAAAAAACAAATTGCTAGATTGAAAGAACCATCATTGAAATGTACCGATCTCGTTGTTAATGAATTATCTAACGTCGTTAGAATTTGTACAGATAAGGTATGAATATAATTGATATTCATACACTTGTTTTATGAATAAACATTTTAAGAAATATGTATTTTTGATATTATAGATGTCCAGGTATCCACGTTTACGAGAAGAAACAGAACGTATCATTACATCATATATTCGTAATCGTGACCAAATGTGTAAAGAACAGTTAATCCTATTGGTTGAATGTGAACTTGCTTACATGAATACAAATCATGAAGATTTCATAGGATTTGCAAAGTATGTAACAAGTGTTGTATCTCAACTTTTATGAATGTTACTAATTTGTTATGTAATATAATTTAATATTGTCTTGTAGTGCACAACAGTCTTCTGATAACTCAAACAAAACTCATAAGCTTGGTAATCAGGTGATACGTAAAGGATGGATGTGTATACACAATTTAGGCATTATGAAAGGAGGATCTAGGGATTATTGGTTTGTGTTAATGTCAGAAAACATCTCATGGTTCAAAGATGAAGAGGTATGTACATAATTATAAATATTTTTTGTTAGATATTTTATGGAAATAAATAATTATTACTTTTAAAGGAAAGAGAAAAAAAGTACATGTTACCATTAGATGGATTGAAAATCAAAGATGTTGAACAAGGTTTTATGTCACGTCGTCATACATTTGCACTATTTAATCCAGAAGGCCGTAATGTTTACAAGGTGAATTTTGAATTGAATTATGTGTAACATTAAGCCTACTCTCCACTGGTTTTTAATTAAATTGAAAATTCATGTCATAGTAATTTTTAACTCTTAATATGTTCTAAATTATGATAATTAAAATAGTATATTATACTATTGTTATGGTTTTATCAATGACAATCACAATTTATCATTGTATTTAACTTTTTCCAAAAGATCAGTGGAGAATTGGTTTCTAACATTTTTTTAATTACATAAATATATTTATTTAGGACTACAAACAGCTTGAATTAAGTTGCGAAACACAAGATGATGTAGATTCTTGGAAGGCATCATTTTTACGTGCAGGTGTTTACCCAGAAAAGTCATCCGATGTATCCAATAGTGATGAGGTAAAATTTTATTAATTGACATTTGAGATTTTTATGCATATATTTTTAATTTATTTATTTATTTTTTTTTTGCCTTTCGATCAGGATGGTCGTGAGGTTAGTGTCATATTTTAATTTCTCAATAATAATTTATAAAATATTTATCAACTTAACATTTTACTATTATAGAGCAGTACAGAATCGACCACATCTATGGATCCAGTTTTAGAAAGACAAGTAGAGACTATACGAAATCTAGTTGATTCATATATGAAAATTGTAACAAAATCTTGTCGAGATCTAGTCCCTAAAATCATTATGCATTTGATCATAAACAACTCAAAAGATTTTATTAATGGAGAATTATTAGCTCATCTTTATGCATCTGGTGATCAGGTAATTTATGTATAATGCATATTCTTAAATATTGCAATTATTTAATATCAATACAGTATATCGATGGTGACACGGCAAAAGGGTCTAAGCGACACTTTGGGTCTAAGCGACACGGCTTATACTATTGGATAGAAAAATATATATTACGTCCATTGCGCGTGCGCAAAATCAGCTGTGACCATTATAACAACGAATATTTGAATTTTAAATTTGGGGTCTAAACGACACTTTATATATTTGTCTTCTGTAATAAAGGGTCTATACGACAACAATAGGGAATAAACGACATTAGCACAATATTTTAGGGGACAAGCGACGTTTATGCGTGGTGTCATTGTACACGAATTTGTACGACTCAGACTAGATCATTTATTTCATTTATTCAATTTTTACCTAAGTTTTAACAAAGGAATAGTGATTATTTATTTTAATGATTAAAAATGTAAGTAATTTTTTATTTTAACCATTGATTTATAGATTTAAGTACAAAGTCAAGTCTAGAAATAAGTTATTTTTTATTATTTGTTTTCATTTAAGTTTGAAGAAAAGGTTAAATTTTATGTTATGTTCTAAAGAATTACAATTTTTTTTTCGTTATTTTCATCATAATAATATTTTAATAAAGATTCATATTTTTTTTTGCGGAAAATATTTGTGTACACCTTATTTAAAAAAAAAACATGTGAAAATGACGTGATATTTTAATATTATTTTATTGGTCTGAAATAAAAATAGTAATCACTATAAATTACAATAATACAATCTCGATAAATGCACAGGCAAAAGTAGAAAAAAATTAGGGCATAAGCGCCGTTGATAAATAGTGTAAAAAAAAAAATAGGGCATAAGTGCCAAAATATTGAACAATTTTTTTCAAATTGCCGTATGCACGTAAATAATAATCAAAAACTTATTAAAAATATGAATACACATGAAGGAGATATAAACAAAAAAAAAATATTCTACAAAATAATACCCTATTCTTACTGTAAAAAAAGTTATAGCTTATTTAGAAAAAAAAAATGATTAAAATCACAAAAAAAAGTTTTTCGGCTCTCCTGAAAATAATGAATTATGTCGCTTAGACCCTTTTGCCGTTTCACCATCGATATAATATTGTATAGTTGTTGTCAGATAACTTGACGGAGCAGTGCTTAAAACTAAAATAGTTCTTAATATTTTGTGTTATTTCCAATTTTCTAAACTTAGAATAATAAAAATATATATATTTAACAAGTGAAGATTGCTTAAATGCTAAAGAGTGAAATGTATCATAAAGTGTAACCTTCTATCGGTCCCTCGGTTTTTTTTTTCTTCATATTTAGTCGCTCTGGACAAAAATGTATACAATATGTACATGTATACAATTACATTTATTCAAATTCAGATTTTGATTATTTTTAAGTACACTAAAAAACCATATTTTCAAATTCTAGATATTTGTTGTACTACTTACTCATTGTGGTGATACAAAGTTCTATTTTTTAAATAAGAACCCCTTTTTTATGCAAATTATTTGGTGCACGGACTTAGTTTCGAAGTTATGGCCAAATGAAGTTCACTATTTCTCAATTTTTATGCATTCGCGCATCACACTAGTTTACTACGACTATTTCAAATTTTTTTGCGTTGAGTAACGCAGAAGGTACCCTGTGACCTACTTGATGTGGTGTTGCATAGCAAATAGGATATTTTCGATTTTAATGTCCGAGCGAGCGAGTGACCGTGCTGGCAATAAATGTACTTTGAAAACAATATTTATGAAAACCAAAGTTCACCCGAGGTGAATGCGTAAAAATCTTGAAACAGTGAACTTCATTAGGCTGTAACTTCAAAACTAAGTTCGTGCTCCAAATTCTGACTTCACCATCGTTTTCAGCGTTCTTAACTACATAAGTTTCAAAAAAAAAATTGCAAAAAAAGGGTGCCCTGTACAGTAGAAAAGTTCCAAATATTTATACTAAGGATAATATTACTTAAAAATGGTTTTAAAAAAAGTATTTATTATACTTTGATAATTTTTAAAAATTATTTATATTGATAGATCAATGGTAGTTAGTAAATACCAACATTTTAAAATCATCGAAGCCCCCATTTCTACTTAACCCATTACCATATAGCTACATATTATCCTTAGTGCACATAATTATAACAAAAATACTCATTTAAATTTTGATTATCAATTTTTTTATACATCAAAATTCTCAAAAAAAAATATATCTTTTGAAAAATGAAAAAGGGGGATCCAAATAAAAAAACAGAAGTTTGTTTGTTTAATAAAACTTTATTTATTTATAATAACACAAATTATTTTAAGTATATTTGGCTCTTTTAAGACAATTTTTTTTTAGATTTTGATAAAAAAGTAATAGTTATAAAAAACATTGTTATCATTTGATCTTATTGGGTAATAATTTATCAAGTAAGTTACAAACACCATAGACATAACAAGATAATAATGATTCAATATAACTTGACTCAAATTACTAATAACATTATTTAAGCATTTTAATAATAGCTATATTGATTATTAAGCATAATAATGATTTTCTGATAGTTATTAATAGAGCGCGGATTTGTGTGCATTAAAAACCAACCAAATATGTGCTAAAAAAACTTAATTATACATAAATTATAAATATGTATACTAAAATGTTTGAATTTTCACTTAAAAATTAGCAAAAAAGACATCTATTTTCTGAATATTACATACATGATAGTGTGATACCATTCAAATCTGATGAAAATGATTCATTTGAAGAGGACTCTTTACCTACATACTATCTTGTCTTTGTCTTAAAAATATACATTATAGCAAAAATGTGTTTAGTTGAACCAATATTATGTTGTTAGCTTTAAATTTTTAATAGTAGAGTGAATTGATCATTATCAAACTTTAAGATAAAAACATTATGTTTGTACATACAATTTGAGTATCTATGTGTAATATTACAATTTAAAAATAAAAATATTGTAAACTACCAATAATTTATATTGGTAAACATTCAACATATGCTCTTATCTTTGTTTGATAATAGGTAAATTTGTCCTAATATTAAAGTTAAAAATCCAAAATTTTTTTTTTTTTAATAAGAACTATTTATTATATAACTTAACATATTTTAACATTTTATTAATAATAAATATATGGTTAATCAACCTCCTATAAGCAATAAAGCTTGTGTTGAAGGTTGAGAGTTATAATATTTAATAATAATATATGTGGATAAATTTAGATTGAATATCGTAAAACATATGACATAAATTACATATTAATAAAAAATAAAATCATAAAAGTACAAAAAAACGTTTTAGGTATTACTTAATAACTAAAACATGAGAGACATGCATGATAGAACATAATATAAGTTAGTTACTATAAAAGTGAATATGAATACTAGACATATAATTACAGTACAGATGTAAGACATACATATAAAAAAATAAAAATACATTTCAAAAAAAAAATATAAAATAAATTTAAATAGGTATCTCATCCCTCACATAGGTAGAAGTATTTTATTAAGATATGAATTAACATTTTTAGTGGAATTTGTTCTTGGATATTTATTATCACTTAGATTTAGTGAATTGAACGCTTTAGGTCCTAAATAATCCATACATTTCTGGCTTACACTTTTTTTTGGGTAATTTATTTTAATATCGTAGGCAATAGTTTCTCGTTTATTAGTAATATTTTCCATTAGTGGAAGTTTTTTTAAGATAAAGCTTATAGTAAATTTATTGTATAACTCACCTACAGGTAGAACACCAAGTTCTAGGTAGTTTTTGTTTGAAGATCCAGTTTTATTTGTTTTATTTAGACAGATACGAAGAATGGCTTTATTTTTCTGCTTGATCAATGGTCTTAGTACATTCTCCGAAGCTCCCCCCATACTCTTATTCCATATTGGCAAATCGATTGATATAAAGACATGTATACTATTCTCATGGTATCATCAAAGATAAAATTTTGTATATTATAAAGTCTGAATATTATGATGGTCCTTAATCGCGTTGTAATGTTTAGTATATGTATATGCCATCTCATATTATAATCGAAAGTCAGACCTAAATATCTTACTTTTGTGACTATTTATTTTGGAGTATGTTGGGTTATCTGTGTTATTATCGTTATTACACACTATTAATTCTTGAAAAGTGAAGTATGCGAAATTGTAGAGAAGGCCATAAAAACCGTTTTTTGATAGTTTATAGTTGTTTTTACTGAGTTTAGTTTCTGGATTAAGCGGTTTGTTTCCACAATTGATTTACTATGGACAATGTCCCAAGAGTTATCAGAAAAAACTAAGCATGTATCATCCGCATATGTAGTTATAGACCCATCAATTTACGTGTTCCATATACTATTTATGTACATTATCAATAGAACCGGGCCAAGAACACTCCCTTGAGGTACACCACAATTTAGTGTTGTCTTACTTTCTATATTATCATTTATCCTAACCATCTAGGTTCTGTTATTTAAATAGCTTGCAAACCATTTATAAATATATTTTATGATACCAAAACTAGGCATGATTTTAATTCAATATGGTCAACCGCATCAAAGGACTTTGAAAAATCTAGGAAAACTGCAATAGGTTTTTTGCTATTATTGAGTGCATCATATAAGTTTAGTTACCTGATATAATGCTCCTGTTGTTCCTAGACCTGGCCTAAAACCATACTGATTTTTAGAGAGCAGTTTATTGTTTTCTAAAAACGTAATTAGTCTTGATTTAACTATTTTTTCAAGAATTTTTGCAAAATTGGTGATTAACGATATCGGCCTATAGTTATTTAAAACTTGTCTATCTCCGTTTTTAAAAATAGTTTTACAATAGCTATTTTAAACTGTGTTGGAACTATACCTTCATTTATGCTTTTATTATATATGTATATTAATGGATCAAATTGATTCTACTGAACACAAATTTGCTTTTCGTGCTTTTGTAAGATGGACTACAGATGATAGTTGTCCTTATAATGGTTAAACTATCTCAAAAATACCAACTTTTACATAATTCTTGGTTATTTTCAACAATAAAATATCTTTAAAAATTATAAAATATTTTTAATAAGTACTGAATTTATATTATTAAAAAGTTCTAATAAATAAATTACACTTTATACAATATAATACGACTGTTATTAATATTATCATTAAATAAATAAATACTTATTATTTATATTTAATAATGAATGAATTTTAAGACTAAATCAGTAAATTTTGTATTAAAGTCTCAAATGATGGAAGAAAGTGCAGAAGAGGCTGTAAAACGTGAAGAAATGATGCGCATGTACCAAGCATGTAAAGAAGCATTGAGAATTATTGGTGATGTATCAATGGCTACTGTTACCACACCCGTTCCACCACCAGTCAAGAATGATTGGCTTGCATCTAGTCTTGATAACCCAAGGTAGATTTGTTATAAATTATTTGTTCATATTTGTGCACCTCTTACAGTTCTTATTCTATATTTTTATAACTGTTAAAGGTTGTCTCCTCCAAGCCCTGGTGGTGCTGGACGTAGAGGAGTACCTTCCAACCCAACACCTGCAAATGCTGCATCAAGAGCACCTCCACCACCTCCAGCTTCAGGAAGACCAGCTCCAGCAATACCCAACAGACCTGGGCCAGAACAGGGACGACAACCTCCTGCTCCACCTGGTAGGCCTGGTGGCCAGGGACTTCCTCCTCCTTTAATTCCTTCGTAAGTCAATTTGGGCATTTCATTGCTTTAAACATTTATCATTACAGCTCATAGAAATTCCCATAAATTGAATCTAATATTATATAGTTCTGTTAATTATATATGTATTAAAATTAGTAATTATTTAGTGCGTAGCTAACTACTAGCTTTACTAACAATTATTAGCTAGTTAGCTATGTACTTAATGATAGTACTCACTAACATGTAGTTAGTTTGAGCTACTAACATTTAGTGTAAAAGGCAGCAACGGCGACGGTGTGGTTTTTTTTACATTTCAGACGCCGTTAATATGTATTGTCGAGCATGTCTTCAGAGGCCGATTAAATCTGCAACTTCATTAATAATAATCACTATATTCATAACCAACTAACCTATACACATTAAATTGAAGCCAGAGTAAGCTAAATTTGGTCCATTGTCTTATTTCTTTTAATTTGAGTGACTAATAATAGTATTTTTATTATTTATTTGTTATAAAAAAAATATTTACTTATATATTATATTTGTTTTGTATTCGTTATGTTGGTTAATCTCATTGTCTAGGTTAGTACATCAGTATAATTAGGTAATTAGATGTTATTTACCTAGGTATGTTACCTAATATTTGTTAAATAATTCACAGTTTGTAAGTCTTTAAGTTTTAACTTTTATAATTTATAATTATTTCCTATATTAGGAATACTCACACAGTCACCCTTAAACAATTATTGTTGGTAGTGATTGTGAATTAAGTATATAAAATATTATTCGACTATTTTAAGGTATATTGTCTACTATTTTATTTTTTTAGCTCATAATTAACGAAATGTTAGACGATGTACATTGTTATTAATTTATTATAATTAAAACAATTTAAGAAGTGATATCAATATCTGGTTAGAAATTATTTAGTGTTTAAGCTCATCATTATATTATGTTTTCTAGTTGCATAGTCAAGAAAATGTTTTAGAATATTCAGGTTGTTTTGCTTTATACTTCACAAAAGTATAATTGAACCTTTTATTATGTTGAAAATGTTATTAATTTACATCATTTTAGATATTTTTAAACATGAAAGTCATTTTCAATATTATGAAACTAAATAGTAAATTAATAACTTCTCAATATTGTAATTTGAAAAATATCAAATATAATAACAAATAATTGATGATGAATACAATTTATAATATAATATAAAACAAATCAATTTAAATTGCATTTTCAATGCATGAATTCACATTTTTCTTGGCTATGTATAAAACTAGGTACTAAAATAATTAGATACACCAACTAATAACAACAAAATTTTATTTTTTCTAGAAGTAGTTATAATTAAATGCACTTATATTAATGTTACTAAATTCAGCAATCAGCATATTATTCAACGCTTATAATCCAGTTAAAACTTATTCATATATATATATATTTATATATATATTTTATTTTAATAAAAATTTATAAAAACAAATGCTTCTGCTGGTAATAATATTGGTGTCAGTTTTAAACTAATTTATTAATGTTATACCAATGGGTTCATGGTACAAATAGATTGTTGATATTTATTTTAACATTTTATTATATCTTATAAAAAATATTTATCTAAACTATAAGAAATATCTGTAATTATAAAATAATGGCTATGCGCGAGTTATATATTCATATTATTATCATGGTATTGGCGATAATAGGCGAGGATCAATGCCGCAAATACCGCAACGTGTACAACAAGCGGTCGGCCAAGCTGTGGCACAAGTAGCTGTCAATGAGCTTACCAATGCTTTTGCCAACCGTTTCAAATAAGCTGTGTATTTCACTTACTAGATGTATACATGGCATGGTGAGTTTATACCAAATGTATTCATGTCAATTTTAGTGTATTTTTTGTTAAATGTATTTCATTTGTCTTGCAATGCTTTTTGAAAGATAGTTCAAATGTTTACAAACCAAAGACAACAAAATATTTATGGTTTTTGTCTTTTTTATTCTATCTGTTTAATCTAATAAGTATAAGTATAACCTTAATCCTTATTATGTATGAAATATACTTATTATAATATTTACTATGGACAATGTAAACAGTTAAAATTATTTTCAGTTTCTACTTTTAAGTATTATACGTATCTGCCATCTTATTTACTTGGTTTAAAACCTGAAATTTGTTCACTCAATGTATTAAGACAAGTGAAACACATAATATAATAATTATTAATCATAGGTAGTTTTTATATCAGGAGTTACAAAACAAAGTAAATGTATGCCAACATTATTTTGGTTCTTTAATTTCAGCACGCGAAGAAAATGTCTAGACTTGATTTATCTTCTATTTAAGAAGCAGGTGAATGCCCAAAAAACAAGACAAAACATTTTTAATTTAAAAATAAAATAAATTATTTATTTTAGATTTTATTTATCCATCTCCTCTTAGGCTAATTAATTTAAAAATGTTTAAATATAGTCTAGATGTGATGTACGTATGAAATGTGATTCTTAGTAACTGAATGTTTACGCATAATCTCGATTTTTTTCTTTTGTTATGTACATAAAATAATAATATTAATTATTATAATATTATTACTGAAGGCCTCGTTATTTATTAATAATTTTTAAGACAAAGAGGTCCTGTTATTGTTATTATTTTAATTTATTATCATTCCATTTATTAAATTTATCTATTTAATTTTAAGTGCAATTAGGGAATTTCTGTTTTTTTTTTCTAACATGAATCCCTATAAACAATCACATTTTAAGTATGTAATATGTATTATGTAATCAGTTATTTTAATTATTGAGCGGCATTTATTTTTATAAAGTCGAAAAGGTTATATTTTTATTGTCTGTATACAAGAATGAAGCTATTTAAAATTAATATATTGTTAATTATTTAGTTACCAGAGTTCCTGAAGTTAAATACAGAGACTAGTGTAATCATAATAAGTCATAACGAATGGAAATTAACATAGAGAAAAACAATTTTATTCAATGAAATGATATATTATGCATTTGTTTGTTGATAAATTACTCTTAGACGTGGCAAATTAAAATTTATAAATATTTTCATTTAAAATAAAGAGAATAATATATTAAAATTAACTTAAAAATAACCTATCTAATTTGCAATTTTTGGCTTTGCACCACTAAATCCATAGTGTGACTACTTCACAATATAAATTTATATTGTTTTATAAAGAGCAATAATTGGATGTTGTTTACAATATACAATTAAAACCAACTTATATTAGACATATTTTATGTCATCGTTATTGAAAAAAATTGTTAAGTCGTTTCAATTGTATTAGACAAGGAAAAAAAGACTTTGTAACTTTTATATAATAAGATAATCATTAAGTGTATGTTACAGAATAGGAATATTTAGGTTATATATTCTGATATAATTGTATTGTTAAGTCAATTAATTTTTTGATGAAATACGACATAACTAGTTTTTTTTTTTTGTGTTCCTAGTAATTTGATTGCTTTTTAATATTAAATTAATCGTAAGCAATTTTTGTGAGTGTGAGCTAAAACCACAGTCGTGCAATTCAGTGGAGTGCATAACGTTATACTCATACCCGAGGTATGAGTACCTACCCTACCCTAACGTATATAATTTTATCATCAATACTTTTTTATAATATGGTCAGTACAATAAATTTTGTTTGAATACATTTTTTAAAATACTGCTGTCATCTCGCTTCATAATTAGACCGAACAATTGTGACTGACCTATACTTGTTACACTTAATTATATGTGAGTTTACTCACAGTACTGTACCGTTACCTTGTGAGTAACCCTAAATTTGACGGCAGAGGATCGGTTTGTACAGTGTCATTAATGTTTAGAAGTTCCAAACTATGTTATCGATATTCGGCGACTTGGGGTCGTTGTATTTAATGTACCTTTATTCACAATAACAATAATGTTCTAGTGGTTGCTAGGCACTGCCCTACAGCTTATAGTTTACCATACCATACCGCGTTACAATATCGAATACCATGTGTTTTAGCTCCGACTCAAAACGATTGGCTTTAATATTATGTAATAATAATAACGCTCATTAAATATTAACCATTTACTATACCATCAATTTAAATTTAAATAAATAAATAATATTGTTATCTCTGAATATTATATATTATATACAAGACACTTGCAAAAAAAAATTGATGTACCTACCTTAGACAAACTTGTCGGATTGTAGCAATAAACGAAAAAAATAAAAAAATTGTACGTTATGCGCATTATACAATATTATTATTAACAAAAAAAAATTGTAGTGTAATGTATTAATCAAGCACAGAAAACAAAGGAAGGCTTTTTTTATTCACCGATTATTGTGAATATAACATAATATTATTTTAAAAAAACAATTGAATTAATTATACGATATTGTTATTAAAAATAATCGATAAAAAAAAAAACAAAAAGACTTATTGCGATTTTTCGAGTTAGGCCACCCGGCCTATACTCGCTATAGTAACCTATGTCTAAATACAGTGTTGTCAGCTATAACGGTAATACTTAATATTTCAAACGCAGACCTTGAATTTGATTAGGTTTTTTTCTAATACACCTATTTTTTCACGGGCAGAACCAATTTTTTTCAAATTATATTAATCATTTGATTTATTGAGTTTTTTTTCGTTCTTAAAAATTGACTGATGGAGTGAGTGAAAGTTTCAACTAATCATATAAAATTGGATTAAAAGTCATAAAGTCGTAACTGTTAGAAAAATGTATGTATTAACATACTTTCATAAATATTATGCATAAATCTAAACTGTAACTAATTTGGTTTTGCTACGGTTAAAAAATGGTTAGAGATAAATCCTATACGTAGTTACGAAGATCTGTCTTTTGAAATATTTCGTTTTACCGCTACCGTTGTTAATATAGATAGGTATTTAATTTTGAGATACCTATTTTCATTGTTCTTTCCGTTTCATCTTTCTTTCTTACTAACATCCCAATACCTAAGCCGTTTTCACACGTCATCGCCCATTACAATAACAATAAGTAAGAATAATTATTATTATTCTAATATTAATACTGTTATTCGCTTTTTGCACGCTACACATTTGGGTATATAATTGCATTCGCCTCGGGTCGCGCTACGCATAGCCTCAAACGATGGTGTAGGTGCTACAACTGTACTTGATACGTATAATGATGCGCCTGCCGTTTATACGCGTTGTCTAATCAACAATTATTGACTAGGTATTAAAATATTTAATATTCTTAAAAGTAGGTTACTTTTAAACTCATATACAGACCAATAGTGTCTCCAGCGTTACTGCCACTTTTGGAAGCTCCTCTGGAAGTTTCCGGAAATCCCCGATTATTATTTACTAGAAATTTAATTAGTACGACCTAATAAAGTAACATTATAATATACCATATACTAGTAATAGGTACTATCAGCCTCCTCAATGCTTTTTGATTAGACCTCGTGTATAATATATAGATGAGATACCTAAGCAACGGGGAATTTTGGTCAGCTTTTAAATTTATGCTTCTATAAAAAAATTCCAAATTTGTTAATTGAAGAAAGTGCTCTTGTTTGTTGAATCAACAAATCTTAAGATCCGTTATGCGCATCGTAACAGATCGGTGTATAGTATTTTCTTCTAGTAAAGGGGTACTCTCAGCCATCAGGACTCCACGGGAATATGACCATTAGGAAATGGATTTTAATGTCTCCAAACTCAAAAAATGCATTTATGACAAAAATTCACTTAAAATAATTTTATTTTGGTTATACGATACAATTATCTATTATTTAATAATTAATAAATTAATGTCCTATAAAAATGGGTTGACCCGAGTTGAATTATTAAAAATCGTATATCTGATCCAAGCCATGCCCAAAATAAAATCTTGCGTCCTCAGTACCTGTGCTACTGACCGCTACAAATGTCTATCTCTTCAGCGCATTTTTGTTAATTTTTATTTTTTTTATCACATTTTGTTTTGTTTTATGCAATTTATCATTTTTATTATTTTTGTTTTTAGGCGTCCTGTTAATTTAGTAGCCGCTCCGCGTATGCAAAATCGACTGCACTTTCAACGGAATTAATAATGTAATAATATGATTGTTGGTACATCGATTTGCGCTTCCCCCTCGGCTTTTCGTCGCTGAGTTACCAACGTGTACCTACTACTGTTGATTATTATTATCATCACTTATTATTATTATCATTTTTATATCCTGTTCATTTTCTCCCTACATCAACACCAATAATAAAATAATTTTATTATTTCTCAGAGAAAACAGGATGCGACTGCGTTATATCATAATATATTTTATTATATTATACCAATGATATATTATTGTGTCGTGAAAAAGAAAATTGCAATAACGAACGAAATCGTATTTCCCATTTCCGGTTCCTACGTATATTGTACAACCTCCTATATATTATTATATTATAATTATTACTATGCTCACATATGACATATTTATGTTTATTATCTGATCACGACGATGACGACGAACGTGTTTGTGTGTTTTTACAATTTATTCTCCTGTATACACACACACACCTAGGGTTTTCATGGACTCGAGACGATCGTCGTGCACACATAAATGTGTACATACATTATACATTATGCGTACGTGAAGAGTTTATACTTTTTATATTTTGCTTTTTAATATTGATATTAAATATATATACTGTAAAAAACCATTTTTATTATATTTATGTCGACATTTTTTACCGTTATATACTTACATGTTATAAATGTTTTTTTTATTATTATTTTTTTATTTTTTTTATACACAACCCAAATTTTTCTAACTCCG